TGTTGTGATGCGCATTTGATCATATCGACATGTTAATTTGCGCAATATAAATATTAAATTATTATTATAATTATTATTATTATATAACTATCCATGACGCACAGTAACAGAGCGTCACAAGCCACAACACACAGTAACAAGCCGTAAAAGCCCGTCACAAGTAGTAACTATCCATGACACACAGTAACAGAGCGTCACAAGCCACTACACACAGTAACAAGCCGTAACAGCCCGTCACAAGTAGTAACTATCCACGAAACACAGTAACAGAGCGTCACAAACCACTACACACTATAACAAGCCGTAACAGCCCGTCACAAGTAGTAACTAGGGACCTTAAGCAGTCAGGACGGCAACGCCAAGGAAGACTTCGATTAAAAAATGAATTTCTAATCGTAGTTAGAATTTTAAAAATGGCTGCATGAGCTTACTGTCTCATACGACGCCACAGCTCAACTTCAGCATGACGTATAAAAGCAGCGTTGGGTTCCAAATGGAAATTCAAATAATTTTCCGTCGCGGTTTCGGTTCGCAGACGACGCACATTTTGACGATTTCATGTTGTTGTTTTGTATAGGACGGCTAGGAAATGTACAAAGTTTCAAAATGCACGTGCTGAGCTATTGTTCTGCCAATTAGATCTCTTGTTTTTCCACGTCCTCGTTGCCGTCGCCGTCGTGGTTGCTTAAGGTCCCTATTATCCGTGACACACCGTAACAGAGCGTCACAAGCCACTACACGCAGTAACAAGCCGTAACAGCCCGTCACAAGTAGTAACTAGCCGTGACACACCGTAAAAGAGCGTCACAAGCCACTACACACAGTAAAAAGCTGTAACAACCCGTCACAAGTAATAACTGGCCGTTACACATCGTAACAGACCGTCACAATCCACTACACACAGTAACAAGCCGTAAAAGCTCGTCACAAGTAAACATATCGTATATAACAGACCGGCTCAGTCAATCGAAGGTAGCTCTTTCTGAAACAAATTTTTCCCCTTTCGTAAAAATACTCGCAACTCAAGAGCGGCAAAGAAGTATCTGGAACCGTCGGGACGTACCAAATAACAATTCTGGCAACGTACAGAAGAGACAGTTGTTTATCTCTTTTCCAGACAAAGACTGCATTTGTGTTGGTACTTAGACGAAATTTAGAGGGCATGTACTAAAACCAGTAACATTGTAACACCCCGGAACACCGTAACACCCGGAACACCGTAACACCCCGTAACACCTGTAACTGCAGTAATCGTAACCTTACAACACCACGAAGATAAAGACGATTTATTCGGTGCGAATGATGTTGACGGTATGTGGGTTGAAACTTAAAAACAATAAATGAATACGAAATTAGAACAATGGACTGGTAAAAGTGACAGGGAACTGAGAAATACACTGAACCACTGAAAAATCTTGAAATAACAATACTTACCTTGTTACGATTTCTACGAAACTGCTGGGCGAATAGAAACTGCCCAAAGGCGAAATAAAGATAAGCTGGAGTAACTGATCAAAGCGAACTACTGTATGACTAACGGAAGACTAAAACTCTGAATTGAGAAAAACTAGGTCATATGCAAAAACGACTAGTTAAATTAAAGTGCAATTCACGCCTATATTACGAAAGAAAGTCATGAACGAAAAATACGTGACATAGAAACAACAGAAGCTAACTAACCAGCGAAAAATACTAACGAACGACGAGAAACAGCGACTACACAAAGAGACACCCTAATGATTGATAGAATGAGAAAACAAAGAAAACGTTTTGCGCGCCAAGACCCTACAACACCCTTACATTTATTCTTTACATGATCTGTAATGGGAAAACAAAACAACACCGTCAAATTCGTGTTTCGGCTTTTACGGTGTTACGGGGTGTTACGGTGTTACTGGTTTTAGTACATGCCAATTTAGACGGCGACGGCTTCTCTCAGATTCCAGAACTCAGTCCTTGGACACTTGATTGACGTCGCAAGCAGGTTGCGTTCCTTACACCGCTGTATGCACCGGTCGTGATCCGAAACGATATGACATAGTTTAAAGAAATTTAAGCTTTCGATGTTGCTGTTCCCCTTTGGCTCTGGTTGTTGTGGATAGAAAAAGATGAATAACAATTGCTTCTCGACCACAAGAGTGAGCAAGATTGCGAATAAACAACGCGTTATTACCACTCATTGTTGTTAAGCCACTTCAGTAATACAAGGCTTGTGTTGTAAAATTTCCATCACAAATTATCTTTAAAAGGCTCATGTTAGAAAAAGAAGTTTTTGAACACCTAGTTTTTCTCTTAAACAAGTGTAGTCAAGCGAGGCTTTTTATAACACTAATTTAAGTACTTTACATTAATTATCTTCACGATAACTATGAGCGCCTTTTAGTGTTGGCGGCCAGCAGGGTGGCCGAGAAAAAGCAACTGCGCGAAAGTACTAAGGAAATGTTTAGGAGAGAATTCAAATCAAAAGTAAAACAGGCCAACAAAAGTTTATATGTAAAAGATAGCTTTATCACTTGACGTTGTTTATGGAAAGAATTGGCTGATTTGGGCCTTCTATACAAATAAAATAACTATAACTATATTCCAATAGCCTTAATGCACCTACCTTCGCGTCCCCTCGACCTGCTCAAAGTATAGAGTAGCTGTAAACTCGAAACTCGACAGGACGAAAAATAATGTTCAATTCAGACGAATGAGTAAAGTCCAGTCCAAGTCCAGTCTGAATCAAGTTCAGTCTGAATCAAGTCCAGTCTATCCTCTGTTGTGACGGCTGTGACGGCGTCACACGCTTAAAGAACGAAATCGTACAAAATATATCGGGCATCAGATGAGGCACACGAGAATCTTGCTACGCATCCCAGGCGCTCAAATACTGTGGGATTTTTTGACCTTAAAGAGCCACTACGACGAAAATTTTTGTCTCTGGTTTTGACATCTTTTAGCGCCAATCAAGTTACTATGGCTAGAATTGTACTATGCGATAGTTTTTAGGTCGATGGAAGCGAAATACGCCTTGATATAGCTGGCCGAAATTCACGAAAAACCCGTCCGCCATTACTCAGCTCGCAACCGAGCGGTTTTACGCATGAGTTGGCCTGTGACGTCATATGCGCACTTTCGCATCGTGCTTCGTGTGTTGTGAGAGATTCCACAGTGGAAATTCTAGGCGTTTCATAAGATGTATTCTTCCTCGAATTCTTCTTCCAGTTCATCTGAAAGTGAAGGCGAAGAATATTTTAACGAAGTATCTTTCGAATGTGGCAGTGTTGTTCCGTATGACGAGGATCTAGAGCCATTAGCCACCGAAGAAGGGGCTGCAAAGCAATGAAAGCGGAGCGATGCGATTTTCGGGGGGAAAATCGCTCGGGCGCTTGAACCCTTACGAAACAAGGCTTCCACCCTTGTCTTTCTTTTATGCATTACATTAACGACCAACTCAGACTTTAATATTCAAAATCGCTTAAAAAAAAAAACATTTTTGAGGCAAAAGGACGACTATACACCAAAGGTAATGTAATTCAACGTTTATCAATGATTTATGTACATAGTCAGCAATATATCACTCTTGGTGAGGCAAACGGTAAATCTGGTACATTCACTATAAAACAACAGTCGGCTTGTATGGGCCCCTAGCTGTGTTGCCACCAAATGTTTGACCGTTGGCAACATTCGCTCTTAAGCACCAGCAGGAAGTTTCTTCACGACGGGTGCACTCGATTCGCTCGAAATTAACCGCTTACATGCGGATTTAATTAGCATCAAATTAACGCATTCAAGCGGTCAAAGTAGGGTCTATTTACCTATGGTGAGCTTGTGACGTCTACTGTCAAGATATTTGTGCCCTTTTCTGACCCCTTTGACTAGCTGCTTTGTTTCCCTGCACAACGTGAACTTTTAGGTTATTGTTTCCCATTAACTAATTCTGACCCTTTTACTCTAAAATGGAAAGGCAATCCCGATTAATTTATTCAGAGGAACAAAAGGAAGTGCTAACCACGTTTTTCAACGAAGGAATGACCTCGACCAAGAAAACCATGTGCGACAAAATTCGCGCATATGCCGCGAGAGTCGGCATTTCCGAAAACCAAGTGAAGGTATTTTCCAGCTTACACCTTAAAGGATCCTCGGCCTAAAAGTGATTAACATTCATTTAACATAGGCACCAGGATAATTAATTTCCTACACTAAATTTCATGTATTCATGTATGTGGTTAAGACTTTCAAGCTATTTTGTCTCAGTGTAATTTCGGGTGTCTCGAAAACTAAGATCTAAGACCTGATCACCTCTGGAGAAAATTACTCGGCTCTACCAATTTTTAAGTGGGAAAATTCCTCTTTCAAACAGATAGTTTTAAAATTAAGATGAATATCTTCAAAAAGGAATAAACATCCACAACTTTGCGTTTAAAAATTCAAAGGCTATACTTCATTTGCTATGGCAGTTTCTAGTTTCCATTACATATTTTACATACAAAATATGCAATCTCTGCATACACTCTAGGGACACATTCCAGTTATTGTTTCTCATAGCAAAACTTTTCCGATAACTCTCGCAGATTCACAAGCTCATGCTGTAATGCTTGACCCAAAATGTGGTACGTTGCGAGTGAACCTTTTTCTTCCCTCCAATGCCTGAGCATTTGATATCCCTTTTCAGATAAAGCCTCGTTTGATTGGCTAATTTCTTCAAGCTTTGGATCTTTGATTCCCAAGCGGCGCCCTAGCTTTTTCCACGCACTACCAAGCCCAGAGGCAAGATGTTCCAATTCATCATCGCTAGGTGTGCCTTGTTTGACTAAAAAGACAAAGTTATTGTTAATGACAAGCATACTACCCCATTTATGGTTCACATCATAGGTTGAATATGAGGTCAATATCAAGTTTCAACGATCACACTAAAGGTGGCGTTTTGTAAACAATACAAAGTCTAAGGAAATGTTGGAAAAAATTTAAGTGTAAAGTAAAGCAACAGAGGCCTCTTTACGTGCTTACGCAGCCTCAAACACGAGGGGGGTTGAGAGAATTCGAGCATGTTATGCGACGTCGAGAAAAAAACACGAATTGGATCACGGACCGGATCACAGATCACGGATTTGCCTGCGAGAGCAAATTGGAAATTAATAAACAGCACAACCCAAAACAAACGAAAAATGAATTAGCTTTATAAAGATACATTTAATTTGATTTACTGTATGTTATACTAGACGCACACAAATACACACACAGCAAAAAGAGGAAAACCACTCGAGTAAAATTGTGAAAAGAAAACATATCTGTGTATCTATCTGTGCATCTAATATATATATTCATATATATATTAGAACATATAAAAAATTTTTTTTATATTTTTACGTCAGAAGCTGTCCATCTTCGCAATTTTTTAAACTTTCAATATATATATATATATATATATATATATTTATTTGTCATGGGGGGGGGGAATTCTATCATCTTGTCACTACTGTCGCACAAGTGAATATCACAGGTCTTACAAGGAAGAGTTGCGTTGCTTCACTTTTTCCCACTGAGTTATTCAGTGAGACGGTACCTGGTGGTTGCCGCTCACATCGTTGTCATGGTTACCCTCTGCGCTTGGCTTATGGCTCCAACTAGCATTTAGGCACCATTCCCTCTCTCTTCTACTATGGATGAGTTTAATTATTATTATAATTATTATTAATATTAATATTACCATTTCTTGGGACAGTTAATAGTGGGTGCATAATAAAATTAAAAAAACTCCCTTACCTTGTTGTTTATGTGCTTCATGCCTGAATTGTATCTTGGCTGGAGTTTCTGATCTGCTGGTGCTGGGTTCTGAGTGAAGGTAAGGACTACAATTCCCTGGGGATGCAGACTCCTGTGAGGGTTTCCACTCAGAAGCACTGTCATCCTCCTCACCTTCTTGATCCCTCTTACTACTAACACTGCAGCCATCGTCATCACCATAATCACCGTCACCGTTGTCCCCTTTGTCACCATCATCAACACTATTGCCACCATCATCATCATAATCATCATCAAGAGGGATCAACTCTTGCTTACTTTTTTGTTTCTTCCCTCTTCTCATCATTTCAGTGGGTGTATTTCTATGCCTTTTCCCTCTTACCAGCGGAGACCTCGTACTCTTTTCACTCTTATCTCTTAACTTTTTTGTCTCCATACGCCTTCTTGTCTCCTTCATTAGCTCATCATCATCTTCCTCTCCTGAAGATGATGATGATGATGATGATGATGATGATGATGATGGCTCACAGTCTATATTCTTTCTATCTTTCTTGTCAGGTTCACTTGGAAAAACTGATGGTGGAATAAATCCAAAATAAATAATAAGTGCCCGACAATGGAATGAAATAATTATGTCAATCCTTGACGAGAGCTGTCAAAACCATTTTGTTCTTTGTTTCCACTTGGAAGCTGTTTTGCCCTCTTTTCTCTCTGCTTGTTTCAATGTTATTCCTTTTAATTAGAAAGGCTTTTGGTGAAATATCAATACTTAGTCAAAGAAGGGGGGAGAAATAGAGAGAAGGGTGTAACCCTGTGAAAATAAATGGAAGCCATCATAGAGATTAACTATGATCTTACACATCACTGTGAGATGCTATTTCCATGAAATGTAACTTCAATGGGCAACTTCTGTCAATATCAATTGAGAAATTATCATTGTCAAATCCAATTTTCTTTTTTCTATGCAACCTCTTAAGACTACTGTTGATTTTCTTTTTCAAAATCACCATCTAGCCATCTAGAATCATATAAATAATGATGACTGCTGTATGGTTGACATACTCAAAGCTCAACACTAACTTTTCAACTTATTAGCCAAGTGGCTGGTGACAACTTAGATGTTACAAAAATTTCAGTTTGTTTACTGGCCAAACTAGCCAGTGGAAATCAAAAACCAGTAGCTCGCCAAAACTGATTTTCTACTAGTCTGTGGCTATTTTGCTACTGTTAGTCTCAAGCCTTGATGCTTAACTGCTGACCACATCTTTTGTTTTTAAGTAAGCAATATGGCTGGCTTTTGGATTTGGGGATTCAAATTGTATCTCAAGGTTTAACACTCAAGCAAACAAAGAAAAAAAAGAGGCAAATTCTTGTAGAAGAAAATTACAGAAAGTGAAGAGCACTTTTCATAAATTAATTATTATCTCAGTTTGTCTTCAGGCCATAAAAACTGGGTACAGTAATAGAAAAAATAATGTAATAGAAGCAATACTGATTGCCTCACTGTACATGACTACCAAGCACAGGTTGCCAAATTGGTGACTTGCTCTGCAAATTTATAAGTGCCAAAATTTTTCTAGTTCAGTCCCATGGTGATCACATTGGGCACAGCTTGCATCAATGAATAACCTTCTACTTGCATGCACACCCACAATGCCCTGCCTAGCCCATGCAATGGGAGCTATGCTGAAAAATAAGTCCCACCTGCTTGAAATGAAAACCCTGAATACACAAATTCTTACCTTTGCGCAGATCAGCATTAATAACAGCCAACACAAAATAGTAAATATTCTTGTTGACTGCTTTCATGAGCTCAGAAGGTGGCCTGTCATGTGATCCTAGTGTGGTGTTAATAGCCATTATGACACCAATGTTGTCTTTGCGACCACACTGCTGAATCCACACTGAAGAGATCCATCTAAGCTTACAGCATGAATGCCATGTTTAGTTAACCGTTTCTGATTGAATTGGCTGATCTTTTCATTGGTTTGATCAAGACACAAGTTAATCAACTCTTCCTTGTGTACTCCCTTTGCAAATGCAACATTAAAAATTGTCAGGTCAAAAACAGGTTCTACTTCAAATTTGTGATTTGCTTCAATCAAATCTTCATCCTGAGTGACCTTTTTCTTCCACCAATTATACCACATAGGAAAATCATGCTCCTCAAAATTTGCTATGCCTCTTTCAAAACTGATTGTAGCCGTTTTTTTGGAGGCCTTACAAGTGTCCCTTTTTGAACACAAAACTCCTCAGCTCCTTGCACAGCATACAGGTTACCAAGCTTGCAGTCTTCATCAAGCTTGTGTTTAGCTGCACCATGGAGAAACATGATTGTAAAGTGGTTACAATAGTGGGCACCTACAGCTCTAAACAATCCCGAAATGCGACTCTTGTTTGTGCCTAAAAGAGTAAAAGTGTGGAATAATTTAGGACCAGCATTTATAACCAGTTAACGTGAGTTGTATGGTGGCCTAAGAATGCCATAAGAAAATTGTGTAGTACCTTGTTAGTTTCCCGTTATTTATTATGTTATTTCATTTAATTTTTAAACTTTAAACGAAAAAAAAATTCTATTGTACACTAATATACACTAAGTCAGAAGCCAATGTGGGAGATCCATTTTGAAAATCAGAACTCTCCTTGCAGTTTCTAGGTTGGTATCTTGGGAGTCTGTGGACCAAATTTCAAGGCAATCCACCAAGTCTACATACCCTAATAATTCGTTCAAAGAATTCATTACCCGCCTAACTATTTCAGTTTGTGAACAATTGTGGATTGTGAACTCTGATGGTTTGTGTATGGTGATGGTTTGTGTACGGTAATGGTTTGACATTTTTGACAGCTTTAGTCTTGTTCAACCAATCAAAGTTTGAGAACCATTCTAACAAGGATTCTGAATAAAGGGGGGTAAGTCCCTAAAGAAACTGTGGTGCTGCATCAGTGGAAGTAACAAGGTAACTTCGGTTTTATCAAACGAGTTGAAAATCTAAATTGGCCACCACTTAGAGTTTCAAAGCTGACATTTGGAGTATTAGCCCTTCACCAAAGGGAAACAGTCACTCTGATGAAGGCTAATGCTAGTAATGCCAGCTTTGAAACTCCTTATGGTGGCCATTTCACATTATCAACTCTGTTGATAACACTAAAATTAACAAGGATTCTGAGTGGCTTACTGTGGTGTGTTTTAGGTGAGTATAGAGCATGATCACGTCTCATGTTTCTCCCTACACTTCTTTGGTGCTCTAGCTACTTCTAGCGTGATAGAGCACAGTCAAGCAAGGCTTCTCTGTATGTTAATTCACTCAGGAAAAAAAAAACAAAAAAACAAAAAAAAACAAAAACAAAATAGTCACGATGAGAAGGAAATTGTTTTTCATATTATTCTTCGGCAGGTGCTTTTCTGAGGTAGACTCTAGTTAAAATCCTATCGAAAGCACTGAATATCACTCTAGGTAACCAAATCAACTTGAGAGCCCTGTTACTAATGCTTTCTGTCACCCCTGTTTACACCAGATGATTGAATTCAATCAATCAGCCAATACAATGAATCTTAATTGTTCCCACGGCATGTGTTTAACAACAACAACATTGACTTTATTTTTTAAAATGAAAGAAATAAAGGCTTTGTAGCCTGCAGTTAGCAAAGCTATTCTAGGCGGGCTACCTAAACAGACACTGTATAGGCTCTCACACATACACACACACACACACACATGCACGCACACACACACACAGACACGCACACACACACACGCACACACACACACACACATGCACACACACACACACGCAACAATGAAATAAATAAATAAATGAGCAAATAAAAATAAATAATAAATAATAGTAGTGATAATCATGTTAAAGGTTTTAACTGAGCCAGTCACACAAGGGAGTTTTTAACAGGTCAAAGAGAAAGCTAATCAGTTGAAATACAAATATAAGCTAGAAAGGTCAAGGTAGCGCAAGTCAACATTCATCTCCTCAATTTCAAGAATTTTCAAAAGCAAGTGAGTTAGCTCACGTTTAAAAGGTGCTTTCTTTAGCTTACGAATTTCAGGGGGGATGCCATTCCATATTTTCGCACCAACTCTAGAAAAGGAAAACAACTGATGATTTGTTCTCGCCTGTTTTATATAAAAGCTTCCAGCTACTGAGAAACGAGTAGAGTAGGAATGAACCTGTTCAGAGTGAGTAAAAAGTTCAGAAATATTG